TGGTAGAGGAGTGTTGAGTATGAGGGAGAGATGGTGGTGGAGGAGGGTTGGGGATTATGAGGGAGTAGTGGTGGTGGTGTAGTAGTATGGGATAGAAATGTTGGTGAAGTGTGTGTTGGATAGTGGTGGTGATGGTGGAGAAGGGATGTGAGTGTGTGGTAGCCTGGTAGGAATAGTGAGGGTAGTGGAGGGATAGTGGAGGGGATAGTAGTGTGGTAAGAATGACTATCCACTAACAACCAAACTAGACCACTCAACCACAAAATCGATAAGTGCAGTAACCACTTAACTAAGCGTAACGGGGAGGTCTTTAAGGCACTTGGCATCGTGGAAAGACTTACAAAGACGAATCACAGTTTCCAAGAACTTGTAATGAATAACTTGTAGTGAATAATAATGTATAACTTAAGGCAGGTATATGGGACAGGTGGTCAGGTTAGGTGATGTATGACCTAAGTTTCGCCAGGTGTAAGAGCTATTGGGATTTAACCTTATTTATGGTCTCTCTCTCTCTCTCTCTCTCTCTCTCTCTCTCTCTCTCTCTCTCTCGTTAAAGATTTCTTGCGTATTGAAGGTTGGAGTCGGATTGGTTTGTTGTGTGTTGGTAAAGTTAGTGCTTGTAATGGTGGTAGTGGTGGTGGTGGTAGTGGTGGTAGTGGTGGTGGTAGTAGTGGTGGTAGTGGTGGTGGTAGTGGTGGTTGTGGTGAGGCAGCCCAATATATCAACAGCTATATAGTGTAATATTTCACACTGCCTCTCCTCCCCACCATGATAAATCATCACCCCTCCACTGTCACCCTCCACCACTACTGTCACCTCCTCCACCACTACTGTCACCCCTCCACCACTACTGTCACCCCCTGCACCCTCCACCACTGCTGTCACCCCTGCACCACTACTGTCACCCCTGCACCACTACTGTCACCCCTCCACCACTACTGTCACCCCTCCACCACTACTGTCACCCTGCACCACTACTCACCCCTGCACCACTACTGTCACCCTCCACCACTACTGTCACCCCTCCCACCACTGTCACCCCTCCACCACTACTGTCACTCCTCCACCACTACTGTCACCCCTGCACCACTACACCCCTCCACCACTACTGACACCCCTCCACCACTACTGTCACCCCTCCCCACTACTGCCCCTCTACCCCTGTCACCCCACTGCACCCCTCCACCACTACTGTCACCCCTCCACCTTCCACCCCACACCCCTCCCACCACTACTGTCACCCCTCACCACCTCCACCACACCCCTACCACCCCTACTGTCACCCCTCCCTACCACCACTACTGTCACCCCTCCACACACTACTGTCACCCCTCCACCACACCCCTCACCACCTGTCACCCCCCACCCCACCTGTCACTCCTCCCCTACCCCTGCACCCCTCCACCCCTCCCCACCACTACTGTCACCCCTCCCACCACTACTGCCACCCCTGACACCACTACTGTCACCCCTCCACCACACTGACACCCCTCCCACCCTACTGTCCCCCCCACCCTACTGTCACCCCTCACCACTGTCCCTGTCACCCCTAGTGTAGGGTCTCCAGTGTAGTTTGACGCCATTTTGAATAGTGTGTGTGTGTGTGTGTGTGTGTGTGTGTGTGTGTGTGTGTGTGTGTGTGTGTGTTGTCTGTCTGTCTGTGTGTGTGTGTGTGTGTGTGTGTCCTGATATGTTTTCATTTAAAAAAAAATCCAATTAACAAACGTTTTAGAATCCGTCCCAGTGACCAAACGTTTATTTGTTTGTTCTGTTTCGTTTCAAGTTTTTCCTGAATGTGACTGTAGCGCAGCTGTTGACTGCCCGAGTCTAGTTTAAAACACGAAAACAACACTGAGGAAATATTTTTGTAGTTGGTTATCTCTCTTTGTCACACACACACACACACACACACACACACACACACACACACACACACACACTTTATATTTGTCGAGTAACGAGAAAATTACCATAAAAAATACTGTTTACAAAAAGTGATCATTTTTTGTTGATCTAATTTTTTTAAGTGTTTCACCCTAACAAGGTCATTAACCATCGTTCATTAATTTCTCTATGAAGGAAAAATAAACAAGAACTTAATTTATGTTCCCTGGTTGTAAAAAAATTCTTCCCAGTCCAGTTTTAACAAGAAAATGTACAGGATTTTTTTGTTTTTGTTTGTCAATTAAGGTGAGAAAAAAATATGAAAATGAGAATAAAATCTACACATTTTTTTGTTAATTAAGGTGAAAAAAATGAATTGCGAATAAAACTGAAGAGAAAAAAAAAGATACATTTAGGGTCTGTTGAAAAAATATATTTAAACATGATTTTTTTTTAGAAAGGAAAATATTTGTAGTTGTTCAGAAAATATTGAAATGGATATAGAAAATAATAGTAATACATTTTTATCAGTAGAGGCTCGGGAATTACGACTGTACAGACCTCTCAAGGGACATGATATTGGCCTCTATCCTGACCTCTCAATGGACATGATATTGGCCTCTATCCTGACCTCTCAACGGACATGATATTGGCGTCTATCCTGACCTCTCAAGGGACATGATATTGGCCTCTATCCTGACCTCTCAAGGGACATGATATTGGCCTCTATCCTGACCTCTCAATGGACATGATATTGGCCTCTATCCTGACCTCTCAACGGACATGATATTGGCGTCTATCCTGACCTCTCAAGGGACATGATATTGGCCTCTATCACCAGTCTCTCCAAGGGACATGATATTGGCCTCCTATCTGACCTCTCAAGGAACATGATATTGGCCTCTATCCTGACCTCTCAGGGACATGATATTGGCCTCTATCTGACCTCTCAGTCCAATGGCCTGTACTGACCTCTCAGGGACATGATATTGGCCTCTATCCGGACCTCTCAAGGGACGTGATGTGGCCTCTGTCCTGACACTCTCCAAGGGACATGATATTGGCCTCTATCCTGATCTCTCAAGGGACATGATATTGGCCTCTATCCTGACCTCTCAAGGGACATGATATTGGCCTCTATCCTGACCTCTCAAGGGACGTGATATTGGCCTCTATCCTGACCTCTCAAGGGACATGATATCTGGTCCACTTGTATGAACATTATAGAGGAAGAGCAACGTGATAATGGCTGACGTCCTGATTGATGCATAAAAAAATCAAGTAAATAAAGAAAATAAAGAAAAATAAATACAACAAACAAAACAAAACTAAGAAAATAAAACAAAGCAAGTAAAAGCCAAAACAAACCAGGGTATGAGTGTTTTAAATGACATATTTGTACTTGAGGGGGTGAGAGGTAGGAAGGAGAGAATATTTGTGTGGGTTGTCACATGTAGGAGGGGGTGATGGGTTAGGGTAGGGGGGTGGGGGTGGCTCTTCCTGACGTAGTGCTGTGCTCGCTAAAGATGACTTACTGCGCCATTTTTCTGCTGTGAAATATTTGGAGGCGAACATAGAGCCGCTGCTGTGGGGGAGGGGGGAGAGTAGGGAAGGGGAGAGGAGATGGGGAAGAAGAGGAGAGGAGATGGGGAAGAGGAGAGGAGACGGGGATGGGCCTTACCAAAAAAAGAAATGGCGCAGCAGGGAGGTGATGGTTTGGTGAAATAAGGCCGCTGATGTAATAAATAATTATAATAATGATGTAATTAGACAGTTAATGATACACTTAATGATTTTATTTTATTGTTTTGTGTTGAATGATCTTGTATGTGCTGGTAGGATAGCTTAGTTTACCTGTCGTTCGTGGCGTCGTCTTGCGTTAGATGGCGTTGCGTGGCGTCGTGTTGCGTTACCTGTCGTTGCGTGGCGTCGTGTTGCGTTACCTGTCGTTGCGTGGCGTCGTGTTGCGTTACTTATCGTTGCGTGGCGTCGTGGTAGGATAGCTTATTTTACCTGTCGTTTCGTTGCGTTGCGTGGCTTCGTGTTGCGTTACTTATCGTTGCGTAGTCGTGTTTGCGTCTCGTGGCGGCGCACAGGTAAAAGGTATAGGGTTCCTGAGGTTGTCTTCTGCCACCTGGGCGAAAGTGATTAAGGCGGCCATCCTGATCTGCCTCTCTCTTATTGATTCTGGGATTGGCTGTTGACTGGTACCTTTTGTTTTACCTGTGGTCTCTCTCTCTCTCTCTCTCTCTCTCTCTCCTTTTCTCTGTTCTTTTGTCATTATTTACATTTCACTTTCTTCTCTTGTTCCTCTATCTATCTGTTCCTATTGAAATATATTCTTATCCCTGGCCTGTTAATGTATTTTTCTTTCATATTACAGTTCAAATATATTCCTATCTCCTTGAAACATATTCGTGTCTAAATATATTCGTCTCTTGTTGAATCAATGTATATTTCTACCCTCATTGCCTATCCTACCGTATTGAAATATATGCCTATCAGCATATTTCAAAGAACATTATATTTCAGTAAAAGGTTAGTTCAGTAGAAGTATATTGTGTGTGTCAGACTTTATTATATATCAATCAAAATATATTTCTACCCACTAATATATTTCTATTCACTATAATATATTTCTATTCACTATAATATATTTCTATCCACTATAATATATTTCTATCCACTGCCAACAAGTTTTCCACCATCCATTTCACGTTGTCAGCCACCCAGAACACGTCGCCATTCACCTAAAAATAGGAGGCGTGAGGCAGGTGGCAGGTTATTCCCCTAAGGTGTGGGGCAACGGCGGCGCCTCCCGTTAACCCTCTGTTGTGTACTGACGGGTCCCGTTTGTCTCTTCCCCTAACACGATGCCTCCCGTTTAGCCTCTGTTGTGTACTGACGGGTCCCGTTTGTCTCTTCCCCTAACACGATGCCTCCCGTTTAGCCTCTGTTGTGTACTGACGGGTCCCGTTTGTCTCTCCCCTAACACGATGCCTCCCGTTAACCCTCTGTTGTGTACTGACGGGTCCCGTTTGTCTCTCCCCTAACACGATGCCTCCCGTTAACCCTCTGTTGTGTACTGACGCGTCCCGTTTGTCTCTCCCCAACAGAGGAACTGTCTGGTATCTTCGTCAAGTCCATCAATGTTGGTAGTGCTGCCGATAGGACTGGTCTCATCCAGGTTAACGACCAGATTGTACAGGTAAGGACAGATTATTCGACCAGATTGTACAGTTAAGGACAGATTGTACAGGTAAGGACAGATTATAGACCAGTTTGTACAGTTAAGAGGAGATTGTTCGATCAGATTGTACAGGTAAGGACATTATTCGACCAGATTGTACAGGTAAGGACATTATTCGACCAGATTGTACAGTTAAGGACAGATTGTGCAGGTAAGGACAAATTATTCGACCAGTTTGTACAGTTAAGGACAGATTGTACAGATAAGGACAGATTATTCGACCAGCTTGTTAAGGGCAAATTATTCGACCAGATTTTACAGCTAAGGACAGATTAGTGACCAGTTTGTACAGCTAAGGACAGATTATTGACCAGATTTTACTGCTAAGGGCAGATTATTCAACCAGATTGTCCAAATAAGCGAATAATTCCCTTCTATTCTCATCTTTTTTACCTCGTGTTTATCATTTATTATCCATTTATTACCTGTTTATCGTCGAGTCTCTCCTCTTCTCGTGTTTTTAATTATTCCTCTGTTTATTCAACTCTGCTTTAGCCTCTTCAGTAAAGTCGGGGGAATTTTGTGTTTATTTTCCTGACGGAGATTTACGTTGCTCAGTATCTTGAAGGCCAACTCATGAATATCTATTTCAGTCGTGTCATCCTAGCTAAGACCCCACCCCTTCTCCCCACCAGGTAAAAAAGTCCCAGTTAATGAGACCAGTCCCCCCCAACTTGAGGTATACCTTAATTAGCCCTCCTAGTGTTTTATTGAGGTCTTATTCACTAAATAAACCTCATTAACTAGAGTTTTATTGATGTCTGGTTTATATAATGATTTTTGGAGGCTTATACTAACAGCTATAACCTTATAGTAATGTTATAAATATAGTATTATATATTTTGTTTATTAATTATACTTGGAAGTGTTTAATTAGGGTTAATACTAAGGCTTATGGACTCAAGTCTTATCAAGATTTCTCACCCTTTATTCTAGTGGCTTTGAGGGCCTTCTAATGAGTACTTCAAGTGTATAATACCAATTCAAGTGCTTCGTTCTTACTAATATGATAAGACCTGTGAATACACGATGTTATGATTCAGTGTAGAGTTATTAATCACTAGTTATCTTAGTTATTTAGTTATGGTTGTAGTCACAGAGGGTAATGGTAGGGGACTGTCTGTTAATGGGAGGGGGCTGTCTGTTAATGGGAGGACTGTCTGTTAATGGTGAGGGACTGTCTGTTAATGGAAGGGACTGTCTGTTAATAGGGGACTGTCTGTTAATGGAGGGGGCTGTCTGTTAATGGGAGGGGCTGTCAGTTAATGGGAGGGGGTTCTGTTAATGGGAGGGGGCCAGTTAATGGTAGGGGACTGTCTGTTAATGGTAGGGACTGTCTGTTAATGGGAGGGCCAAGTTAATGGGAGGAATGGTAGGGGCTGTCTGTTATTGGGACGTAATGTTAGGGGACTGTTAATGGGACTTGATGGTAGGGGACTGTTGGGACTGATTTTAATGGGAAGTAGTCCCATTAAAACCTAGGAGAATAAGACCCTCAAAGCCATAGCAGTCCCTTCATAGCCCTCGAAAATAGTCCCATCAAAACCCTTGAGAATAGCCCCGTTAAAACCCTAGAGAATAGCCCCGTTAAACCTTAGAGAATAGTCCCTTCATAGCCCTGGAAAATAGCCCCATTTAGCTAGAGTAGCCCCTTCAAAACCTCCCTTCATTGATATAGGAAATGAGGAAGGATTTATATATAGGGATAAGGACGGGGGGGATAATTTACGTAGGTGTTTATAGACTATCCATAGTATCATACAATTCTTTCACTTTGGTTAGGTTAGGTTAGGCTATGTAAGATTTGGTTAAATAGGTAAGAATAAGTTAGGATTTGCTAATTTAGGATAGCTTAGGTTAGGTTAGGATATGTAAGATTTGGTTAGGTTGGGATAGTTTAGGTTAGGATATGTAAGGTTAGATTAGGATAGGTTATGTAAGATTTGGTTAGGTTGGGATGAAATTTGGTTAGGTTGGGATAGTTTAGGTTAGGATATGTAAGGTTAGATTAGGATAGGTTATGTAAGATTTGGTTAGGTTGGGATGGTTTAGGTTAGGCTATGTAAGATTTGGTTAGGTTAGGATATGTAAGATTTGGTTAGGTTGGGATGTATAAAATTTGGTTGGGTTGGGATAGTTTAGGTTGGGATATGTAAGGTTAGATTAGGATAGGTTATGTAAGATTTGGTTGGGTTGGGATAGTTTAGGTTAGGCTATGTAAGATTTGGTTAGGTTGGGATGTAAGATTTGGTTAGGTTAGGATATGTAATTTGGTTGGGTTGGGATAGTTTAGGTTAGGCTATGTAGATTTGGTTGGGTTGGGATATGTAAATTTGGTTAGGTTGGGATATGTAAATTTGGTTAGG